TTGAGGTCAGGAGTTCAAGACCAGCCTGGTCAACATGATGAAAACCAGTCTCTACTAAAAATACAAAAATTAGCTGGGCGTGGTGGCTCATACCTGTAATCCTAGCTACTCAGGAGGCTGAGGCGGGAGAATCACTTGAACCCAGGAGGCAGAGGCTGCAGTGAGCCGAGATCATGCTACTGCACTCCATCCTGGGATACAGAGCAAGACTCCATCCCTCCCCAGAAAAAGAAAAGAAAATCCCATTTTCTGAGGAGAATTTCAAGCTGGCTGTAGAAATTTGCATAAGTAACAAGGAGCTGAATGTTAATCACCAAGACAATGGGGAAAATGTCTCCAGGGCATGTCAGAGACCTTTGAGAGGCAGCCCCTCCCATCACAGATCCAAAGGCCTAGGAGGAAAACGTGGTTTCGTGGGCCCGGCCCAGGATCCCTGTGCTGTGTGCAGCCTAGCGACTTGGTCCCTTGCATCCCAGCCACTCCAGCTGTGACTGAAAGGGGTCAACAGAGAGTTCAGGCCGAGGCTTCAGAGGGTGCAAGCATCAAGCCTTGGCAGCTTTCACATGGTGTTGATCCTGCAAGTGCAAAGAAGTCAAGAACTGAGGTTTAGAAACCTCTGCCTAGATTTCAGATGTATGGAAACGTCCAGATGCCCAGGCAGAAGTTTGCTGTAGGGATGGGGTCTTCATGTAGAACCTCTGCTAAGGCAATGCAGAAGAGAAATGTGAGGTCAGAGACCCCACACAAAGTCCCTACTGGAGCACCACGTAGTGGAGCTGTGAGAAGAGGGTCACTGTCCAGACACTAGAATGACAGATTCACCAACAGCTTGCACCGTACACCTGGAAAAGCCACAGACACTCAACACCAAGCCATGAAAGCAGCTGGAAGGGAGGCTGTATGCTGCAAAGCCACAGGAGCGGAGCTGCCCAAGACCACGGGAACCCACCTTTTGAATTGGCGTGATCTGGATGTCAGACATGGAGTCAAAGGAGGTCATTTTGGAGCTTTAAGATTTGACCACCCTGCTGGATTTCAGACTTGCATGGGGCCTGTAGCCCCTTTGTTTTGGCAAGTTTCTCCCATTTAGAATGGCTGTATTTACCCAATGCTTGTACCCCCATTGTATCTAGGAAGTAACTAACTTGCTTTTGATTTTACAGGCTCATAGGCAGAAGAGACTTGCTTTGTCTCAGATGAACTTTGGACTGTGGACTTTTGAGTTAATGCTGAAATGAGTTACGACTTTGGGGACTGTTGGGAAGGCATGATTGGTTTTGAAATATGAGGACCTATGAGACTTGGGAGGCCAGGGGTAGAATGACATGGTTTGGTTGTGTCCCCATCCAAATCTCATCTTGAATTCCCATGTGTTGTGGGAGGCACCTGGTGAGAGGTAACAAATCATGGGAGGCAGGTCTTTCCCATGCTGTTCTCTTGATAGTAAGTCTCACAAGATCTGGTTGTTTTAAAAGCAGGGTTTCCCTGCATAAGCTCTCTTCTCTTGTCTGCTGCCATGTGAGATGTGCCTTTCACCTTCAACCATGATTGTGAGGCTTCCCCACCACGTGGAACTGTAAGTCCAATAAATTGTTTTCTTTTGTAAATTGCCCAGTCTCGGGTATGTCTTTATCAGCAGTGTGAAAACTAATACAACTCTGTTGACTGCTTTCTTTGAGGTGCAGAAGTTTTTAAGTTTGATGTAGGTCCATTTGTCTATTGTTGCTTTTGTTGCCTGTGCTTTTAGTATCATGGTCAAGAAATCATTGTGAAATCCAATGTCATAAAGATTTTCCCCTATGTTTTCTTTTAGGAATTTTTTGGTTTTAAATCTTATATTTAGGTCATGAATCTATTTTGAATTATTTTTTGTACATGGCATAAGGTAAGGGTCTAACCTCATTCTTTTGCATGTGAATATCTGGTTTTCCCAACATAATGGTTACATAGACTATCCTTTCTCCACTGAGTGGTCTTGGCACCCTTTTCAAAGATCACTTGACCATATATGAGTTTATTTTTGGACTCTCTATTCTGTTCCATGGGTTTTTGTGTGTGTCTTTATGCCAGTACTATTTTATGCTATTGTGATAACTGTAGCTTTGTAACATGTTTTGAAATCAGGGAGTGTGAGGCTTCCAACTTTGTTCTTTTTTCTCAAGATAGTTTTGGCAATTTGGGGTCCCTTGAGATTCAATATGAATTTTAAGATGGTTTCTTCTACTTCTGCAAAAAGTGATGTTGGAATTTTGATAGGCACTGTATTTATATATAATTCATAGATCTCTTTAGACTGTATGGACATTTTAACAATTTTAAGTCTTTTAACCATGAACACTGGATATCATTCCATTTCTTTGTGTCTTTAATTTATTTCAATAACGTTTTATAGTTTTCAGTGTATAGGCCTTTCACCTTCTTGGTTAAGTTTATGCCTAAGTATTTTACTCTTTTTGATACTTTGCAAATGAAATTATTTTCTTAATTTCTTTCTGGAATTGTTCACTGTTAGTGTATAGAGACATAACTGATTTCTTGTGGTGATTTTTTTGTCTTGCAACTTTGCTATGTTTATTAGTTCTAACAGTTTTTCTGGTGTGGAATATTTAGGGTTTTCTACATACAACATTACATTAGCAAATAGAGATAATTTTACTTCTTCCTTTCCAAAGCAGAAGCCTTTTATTTCTTTTTCATTCTTAATTGCTCTGGCTAGGAGTTCCAGTACCATGTTCAATAGAAGTGGCAAGAATAGGCAATCTTGCCTTGTTCCTGATCTTAGAGGGAAAGCTTTCAGGTTTTCACTATGAAGTGTGATAACGATTATTAGTTATTGTCTCTTCATAAATGGCATTTATTGCGTTAAGGTAGTTTAGTTCTATTCCTAGTTTGTTTGGTGTTTTTACCATGAAAGGATGATGAATTTTGCCAAATGCTTTTTCTGCATCAATTGGAATGATCATGTGGTTTTTAACCTTCACTCTTTTAATGTAGTGTATTATATTAACTGATTTTTGTATGCTGAAACATCTTTACATCCCAGGGTAGATCCCACTTGGTCATGGCGTAGAATCCTTTTAATATGCTGTTGAATTAACTTTCCTTGTACTTTTTGAGAATTTTTTAATCAGTATCAGCGAGCTTGATCTGTTTTTTGTTTTGTTTTGTTTTTTCCCTTGTAGTATTTTTGTCTGGCTTTGGTATTAATGCTGGCCTCATAAAAAGAGCTTGGAAGTTTCTCTCCTCTTCAATTCTTTGGAGTTTGTTAATTGTTCTTTCAATGTTTGGTAGAATTTTCCAGGGAAACCATCTGTTCTTGGGCTTTTCTTTGTGGGAAGGTTTTTCATTATTAATTCAATCTCCCTACTAGTTACAGGTCTGTTTAATTTTTTTCTTGTGATTTAGTTTCAGTAGGTTGTATGTTTTAAGGAATTTATTCATTTCTTCTAGGTTATCCAATTTGTTGGCACATAACTCTTCCTACTAGTCTTTTATGATCCTTTTAAATTTCTTATTTCTGTGGCATCAGTTGTAATGTCTCCTCTTTTATTTCTGATTTTAGTTATTTGAGTATTTTCTCTTTTTAGTCTTGATAACGGTTTGTTAATTTTCTTAATTTTTTCAAAAAAACAACTTTCACTGATTCTCTCTATTGCTTTTCTAGTCTCCATTTTGTTTATTTATGTGGTATTCTTTATTATTTCCTTCCTTCTCCTAACTAGTATGTTGTTTAATTTCCATACATGTGAGACTCTTCTCATTTTCCTTCCACTATGGATTTCTGGTTGGACTCCACTTTGGTCAGAGAAGATACTTGGTATGATTACAATCTTCCTAAATTTGTTGAGACTTGGTTTTATGGCTTAACATATGCTCTATCCTTGAGAATAATCTATGTGCACTTGAAAAGAATGTGTAATCTGCTGATGTTAGGTGGAGTGTTCTGTATATGTCTGTTAAGTCCAACTGTTCTACAGTGTTGTTCAAGTCCTTTGTTTCCTTATTAGTCTTATGTCTGGTTGTTCTACCTTTATTGGAAGTGGAGTATTAAAGTGTATTATTGTATTGTCTATTTTTAGAATATAAGGTCAGGCGCGGTGGCTGACACCTGTAATCCCAGCACTTTGGGAGGTTAAGGTGGGTGGATCAGCTGAGGTCAAGAGTTCAAGACCAGCCTGACCAATAGGGTGAAGCCCCGTCTCTACTAAAAATACAAAAATTGGCCGGGTGTGGTGGCAGGTGCCTGTAGTCCCAGCTACTAGGGAGACTGAGGCAGGAGAATTCCTTGAACCCAGGAGGTGGAGGCAGTGAGCTGAGATTGTGCCACTGCACTCCAGCCTGGGCGACAGAGCGAGACTCCATCTCAAAAAAAAAAAAAAAAAAGAAGAATATAAATGTGAAAAAATTACAGAATGTGAATTTGACTTAACACAGAATTTTTAAAAAACATGGTGCATTATTTTCTCTGACAAACAGTATTTGAATGTTTATGACTAAAGCATTACATAAATAGAATTATCAGGAATATCACAACATAATAGGCATTGATTAACTTTGTAAAATAGATACAATATTGGACTGTAAGTCAAAATAATTGGTTTCTAATCCTAGATTTGACCAAATCTTTAATGTCTTTGCTTTAATCTGTTAAGACATATGAAACAGTATAAATGAAAGCAGAATAAACTGAAGAGACTATAATTTTAATAATCCTTCAAATGAGATACAGACAATTAGCTGAGTTCCTAAACCACAATTCCTATGCTGCCTTCAGATAACAGGCAATGACTCTGCTTCACATATTATGAATAATCTATAAACATAAGCAAGATTCAAGAAAGGACAGCACAAATCTTTAGAGTACCTAGAATACAAGTAGGTACTCAAAAAAATTCTGTTGAACTAAATTGAAAAAACTAAACGCACTATAACAGACCACTTTTTACAAAGGGCACAACATGCAACTATATACACAAATATGTAAGGAAATTAGCACTTACCAAAAGACTGTAAAATTGCTTAATCAGAACAGATACTACTCTCAGCAAACGCATGCAGATAGGAAAATATGGTTTTTCAACTGGTGCTGGAGAAGATGAGGTGCTGGAACCTTGTCTGAACTTTATATTTGGAGAAAAGAGCTTTATCACAAGAGGACATACCCTTTCTTTGAGGAGGAAACTAAATTCTTGGTGCTATTTGCAAGGAAAAAAAGAAAGAAAAAAATAATTAACTTTATTTGTACTAAATACTTCTAAAAACACAGTCTCACTAGGAAATAAAACTTCTTAATAACCAGTATAAATAATTTAGCTCTACTATAAGTTTATATGTTTTATTGTTTTATAGTTTACCCACAATTTTGAAATTTGTATTGTACTTAGAGAGTCTAAGATCAGAATAGTTATCAGAGCCCAGCATGGTGGCTCATGCCTGTAATCTTAGCATTTTGGGAGCCCACGGTGGGAGGATAGCTTGAGCCCGGGAGTTCAAGATGAGCCTCAGCAACACAGTGAGACCCCACCTCTACAAAAAATTAAAAAATTAGCCAGGTGTGGTGGCACACACCAGTAGTCCCAGCTATTTGGGAAGCTGAGGTGCAAAGAACACTTGAACCCTGGAGGTCAAGGCTGCAGTGAGCCATGATCATGCCACTGCCCTCCAGTCTGGGTGACAGAGCAAGATACTATCTCAAAAAGTAATAATAATCAGTATTACAAGAGGTTTTTGAAAGAATATAAGTTTAAAAGGAACAGTTAATGATTTTAGAATTAAGTAATTGGTGATTACTAGAAACTTTAATTTTAGTTGGACACTGGTAATTAAAAACATAAACAACAGAAGAAAGAAAATAGAGCCAGGCATGGTGGCTCAGGCCTGGAATCCTGGGACTTTGGAAGGCTGAGGTGGGAGGATTGCTGGTACTCAGGAGTTCAAGACCAGCCTGAGCAACACAGGGAGACCCCGTCTCAACAACAACAACAACAAAAATTAGCTGGATATAGTGGTACCACCTGCGGTCCCAGCTACTTGGGTGGCTGAGGTGGGAGGATCACTTGAGCCCAGGGAGGTTGAGACTGCAGTGAGCCATGATCACACCACTGTACTCCAATCTGGGCAATGGAGCAAGACCCTATCTCACACAGAAAAAAAAAAGAAAAAGAAAAAAAGAAAGAAAAGAAAACAAGCTATACAAATTCAAGCAAATAAATAGTTTAAAATAGGTAGCTGAGGAGAGAAAATTTCCTAGTAAAGTATAAGTTATATAATTCACTGATTTCGTTTTGCAAAGAACAATTCCTTTCATGCAGAGATTTAATAATTAACTTAAAATTTTGTTCTGCTTGGACTGCTTGAACAGAACATGATGAGCTGATAAAACATGCAATGGCAAACAAGCATAATTATTTTACAAGTCAGGGAATCTTGCAAATAATTCTTAAATTTTACTTACAGTCATGATATATTATAAAGAAAGCCCTCCTTAACCTGTTAATTCCCTGCCTATAATAGCAAGGTAATCCCATTTCACTGACAATATAAGGCCTCGTCTGTATTTAATGACTAGCCTCAAATACATTTTATTTTGTTGTCATCCAAATTTCATTGAAGCTATAAACAAAGAAAAGATCACAAAAATCACTTGACCTAATCCTTTAATCTTACAGAGAAAGGAAATAAGGCATAGAGCAGGCTGTTTGCTCAGAATCACAAAATTTTTTAAATGTATCTTTTTTTTTTTTTTGAGATGGAGTTTCACTCTGTCACCCAGGCTGGAGTGCAATGAATGGCACGATCGCGGTTCACTGCAACCTCCACCTCCCTGGTTCAAGCAATTCTCCTGCCTCCACCTCCCAAGTAGCTGAGATTACAGGCATGTGCCACCACACCTGGCTAATTTTTGTGTTTTTTTTTTTTTGAGACGGAGTCTTGCTCTGTCGCCCAGGCTGGAGTGCAGTGGCCGGATCTCAGCTCACTGCAAGCTCCGCCTCTCGGGTTTACGCCATTCTCCTGCCTCAGCCTCCCGTGTAGCTGGGACTACAGGCGCCCGCCACCTCGCCCAGCTAGTTTTTTTGTATTTTTTTGTAGAGACGGGGTTTCACCGTGTTAGCCAGGATGGTCTCGATCTCCTGACCACGTGATCCGCCCGTCTCGGCCTCCCAAAGTGCTGGGATTACAGGCTTGAGCCACCGTGCCCGGCCAATTTTTGTATTTTTAATAGTGACGGGGTTTCACCTTGTTGGCCAGGCTCTCCTGACCTCAGGTGATCCGCCCGCCTTAGCCTCCCAAAGTGCTGGGATTATAGGCGTGAGCCACTGCCCCCGGACTAAATGTATCTTTTAAAAAATCAGATTCTCAAGAAAGAAAAACTGAAAATACAGATAAATAAAAACATAAAAGTAAGTCTTGCCTAATCTCACCTCCTGGAGATAAGTGGACTAGTCATTGTTAACTTCTACATGTATATTCTTCCAGACTTTTATAAATATTTTAATATACTTTTTCATTCTTTCCCCCAAAATGAGATCTTAAGAGATAAATGACTTGAAATTATACTCTCACATCTACAGTTAGTTTCTTTGACTGCCAAAATGAAAAGTAAAGTCCACTTTCATATTTTACAAAAATAATTATTTTGTATATTGGTTAATATATAAACATACCGGCAATTCTTAAGCAATTCTTAAAAGTTTTATCAATTCACTGTTTCCCTCTCACTACTCAACTCACTACAGTTGGGTTTCCTCCAGCACTATCACCAACCATCCCAACTCTACTTCTCCACTTCTCATTATCCTCATCATGATCTCTGTGGCCAAAGCAAACACTTTCCAGTCTTTCCAGTCATCATCTTATCAGATCTCTTTGTTTTTGTTTTGTTTTGTTCTGTTTTTGAAACAGGGTCTTGCTCTGTCACCCAGGCTGGAGTGCAGTGGTGCGATCATGGCTCACTGCAGCCTTGACCTCCTAGGGTCTTCCCACCCCTCAGCCTCCCAAGTAGCTGACACTACAGGTAAGTGTCACCAGGCCCAGCTGATTTTCTAAAAATTTTTCATAGAGACAAGGTCTCACTATGTTGCCCAGGCTGACTCCTGAGCTCAGGCTATCTGGCCACCTCAGTCCCCTAAAGTGCTAAGATTACAGGTGTGAGCCACTGAGCCTACCAGATCTCTGTGAACCACCTGATATAACTGATTACTTGCTTCATCTTGAAACTTTCTTTGCTTTTGCCTTTTATTATGTCACACTCTCTTAGATTTGTTCCTGCCTTCTGGCCTTGTGTTCTCAGTCTCTTGTATATGCTCATCCTCAACTGTTTAATGTTGAGGTTCCTCAGAGGTCCAGAGTACCATGCCCTTGCTTTGTACTCTAGGTTCTCACCACAATCTCATTCACTCCCATATCTCCAATTATCAACTATATGCCAGGAACATTTAAATTTATAATTTCAGCCCCAAACCTTGAAATGCATAAGTCCAACTAACATTTTGTATGTCTCACAGATACCTCAAAATTAGTATATATATGTATAATGTGTCTTTGTGATAAAAATTCTGCCCTTGAAGTATTCCATCTTAGCAAATGGTTCACTGTTCAAGCCAGAAAGCTAGAAGTAATCTTTGAGACTGCCTTTTTCATATTCCACTACAATACTTCATTGAGGCAAAAGGCAAAGCTTCAATGCCCTTAAAGCCTATTTTTCTAGAAAAGAAGATATCCTTTCTCAGGGTCACTGCTCTTCGACCTTCTGTGTGGAGTATTCTTTTCCTATTCTCCCCATGTCTCCTAGCTACTCTTAATCCTTCATTTACAAGCTTAAGTATCATATCCTTGATTTATCACCAAGTCTCCAACAGGTTTGGTCCACTGTTATTCATTTCCTAACACTTTTAATAGTTCTCCTTCACAGCACTCATCACATCTTATCAACTCAGTTAAAATCTGTCTCCCCATTAGAATTTTAAGTGCCACAGGACAAAGACTTTATCAGTCTTATTTAACTTCTGTATACTTGGCATAAAACATAAGTGACTGGTAAATTTTGATTGCATATGTGAATGATGAGTTAAAAAAGAAACAAATATTTATCTCTGGAAGAAAATTGTACAGGATGAAGTTCTAGGATCTTACACAGAAGAATTCTTCCCCTTCCATGCTTTATAGCAGGAAGAATAAAGTAAATTTTGTAAGTATAATAAATCTGTAAAAACAGGCTGGGCACGCTGGCTCATACCTGTAATCCCAGCACTTTGGGAGGCCAGGGCAGGCGGATCACAAGGTCAGGAGATCAAGACCATCCTGGCCAACACCATGAAACCCTGTCTCTACTTAAAAAAAAAAATACAAAAAAATTAGCCAGGCGTGGTGGCGGGTGCCTGTAGTCCCAGCTACTCGGGAGGCTGAGGCAGGAGAATGGGGTGAACGGGAGGTGGAGCTTGCAGTGAGCTGAGATCGCACCACTGCACTCCAGCCTGGGCAACAGAGCGAGACTCTGTCTCAAAAAAAAAAAAAGAAAAAAAATCTGTAAAAACAGTTTCAAATATTTTCCTATAAAGTCAGAAAACATAACCCAAACATGAAAATTTTAAATTCAGATTCATTAACCAATTCATTCATTCAAATATTTATCAATGGCCGGGTGCAGTGGCTCAAGCCTGTAATCCCAGCACTTTGGGAGGCCGAGACGGGCAGATCACGAGGTCAGGAGATCGAGACCATCCTGGCTAACACGGTGAAACCCTGTCTCTACTAAAAAATACAAAAAAACTAGCTGGGCGAGGTGGCGGGCGCCTGTAGTCCCAGCTACACGGGAGGCTGAGGCAGGAGAATGGCGTAAACCCGAGAGGCGGAGCTTGCAGTGAGCTGAGATCCGGCCACTGCACTCCCGCCTGGGCGACAGAGCGAGACTCCATCTCAAAAAATATAAAATAAAATAAAATAAAATAAAATAAAAAAAAACACACACAAATATTTATCAAACACCTGCCATATGCCAGGCACTATTACTAAAGACATCTATACAACAGTACTAAGTCCCTGCCTCACAGAGTTTATCTTCTTGTAGGGAAAGAGAGAAAATAAAATAATACACAATATGTAATAATATATAATACATATATACGTGTGTGTGTGTGTGTCAGGCAGGAGGTGATAAGTACTACAAGAAAAATAAAGAGGGATAAGAAAGATAATGGTGCTGGTAGGGAAAAATATTGCCATTTTACACAATGTGATTGGGGAAGATGTGTCTGATAAGTTGACCATTAAGCAAAGCCCTCAAAAAAGTAAGACAGCAAGCCATATGAGGAAAAAAGGATTCCATGCCCAGGGAATAGTAAGTACAAAGGCCCTGGGGCAGGAATCTGCTTGAGGCACTTCAGAAACAAGTGTGGCCAAAGGGTGAGGGCAAAAAGAAGAGAGGAAAGAAAGAAGATCAAGGAATATCGGGGACTAAATCATGAAAAGTTCCACAGAGCAGAAGGACACTTCATCTTTTAGTCTGATAAGGAGGATATCAACTGAAGCAATTTACAAGAGACTGAAAAGATTTGACTTATTTTAAAAGACCATTCTGGATGTGGTGTCACAAACAACTATAATAAGTGGTACAAGTATTAATATATATGCAAGCAGACCAGTTAGGAAGCCAACACAACAATTCAAGTAAGAGGTGATGGTAGCTTAGACTAGAATAATTGTAGAAGTGGTAAGAAGTGATTGGATCCTGAATATATTTTGAAGGTAATGGTTGGGATGTGATACATAAATAAAAAAGAGGGGATACGGAGAGAAACTAATTTGAATCAACATGAGTTCAAATCCCAACTCCATCACTTATAAACCATGAAACTGTGGACAAATTATTTAACCCTCTGGATGTTGTAGTTTCCTCATGTGTAAAACAGTGATAATTGGTATATCTTAGGCATTTGGGAAGATAAAAGAGAATATAATATGTAAGGAATCTGGCACATAGCACGTAGAAGGAAGTCAAGAAATGATAGCTGCTATGACTATTATTTATACAAGAGTGTTGGACAAGTTATATCTAAATACTGCTTATCCTATTACACTACAAGAAAGGGAATCATCAGTATATACTGCTCATCAAGAGCATTTAACAACTGCCTAATGTATACTAAAAATTATGAGCCATATAAAAATAATTTCAGCTCCAAATCCTGGCCTAAAAGATCTTATACTACTGTACCACTTGATTCACTCATTTTGTAGGTAAGAGCAAAGGATAAAATGGATTACTTAGGGAGGAAGCATGGTAAGGGAAGGAGCTAGATGAGTAGTTAAGAAACCTAAATTACAGTTCGAGACCTGCTAATAACTACGGGACCCTGTGTAAGTCACTGACTTCATTTTGGACTTTAGCTGTTTTCCATTTAAGTTATGTGAAAACACATAGCTAGATATATAGGCAAGTAAAAATCAATAATTTCTTTAGGCTTTTAAATATTACACAAGTAACTCACATACCACATTTCCTTCATAGACCCATACACTGGGAAATACCTATTAACAGATTGTCTCTAGAGATTCTTTTTATTATTAAAATTCCAAAATGCAAAGGGACTAAAAAAAAAAAAAAAAAAAAAAAAAAAAAAAAAAAAAAAAAAAAAAAAAAAAAAAAAAAAAAAAAAAAAAAAAAAAAGTAATGTAACACTAAGCTGTTATATGTCTAAAGTTTGAGGCTACAATTCTCCACAGCTTTCTTTCCTTCCTTTTTTTTTTTTTTTTTTAAGAAATGGGGTTTGGCTCTCTCACCCAGGCTGGAGTGTAGTGGCATGAACACGGCTCACTGCAAACTCGACCTCCTGGGCACAAGCGATTCTCTTGCCTCAGTCTCCTTAATAGCAGGGACTACAGACATGCACCATCACACTTAGCTTTTTAAAAAAAATTTTGTTTTATTTATTTTTTTTGAGACAGAGTCTTGCTGTCACCCAGGCTGGAGTGAAGTGGTGCGACCTCAGCTCACTGCAACCTCCGCCTCCCAGGTTCAAGTGATTCTCCTGCCTCAGCCTCCTGAGTAGCTGGGACCACAGGCATCCGCCATCACGCCCGGCTAATTTTTGTATTTTTAGTAGAGACGGGGTTTCATCATATTGGCTAGGCTGGTCTCAAACTCCTGACCTTATGACCCACCTGCCTCGGCCTCCCAAAGTGCTGGGATTATAGGCATGAGCCACCGCACCCAGCCTTTTCATTTTATTTTCTATATTGATGGTGTCTCACTATGTTGCCTAGGCTGGTCTCAAACTCCCGGGCTCAAGCAATCCTCCCACCTCAGCCTCCCAAAGTGTTGGGATTACAGACATGAGCCACCAAGTCTGGCCTCTTTGCAATTTTTAATGTGGAAAAAAAATACACGTTGCTTTCTTTAAAAATATTTGTAAAACAATTAAGATTAACTTTGTCACAAGATACTATAAATGGCTTACTTGTAAAAAGACCTGTGGAAAATCATTGAGGACTGACTCAAGTAATTCGAGGCCAAACGTCCGAGTCATTTCTGTCATGCCCACTAGCCAATAAGGAGCATCAGCATTAACCAGCTGACAAAGGTCCTGGGAAAATAAATCCAACAATTTCACATGCTAGAATTAAATGTGCTTTTCAAAACTCACAGTTCATAAATCTTAAAAAAAAAAAAAATCCATCTTCTTATATAATACATGTTTTTGCTCCTTAGAAACTAAGCGCCGGTAATTCCAATTTTGACAAATTGTGTAACTGACAGATTATATAAGCAAACTTTTAAAGAATCATATAACTACTCTGTACTGACGATTTGTACAGTTGTACAATGTACTACTGTACAGTTGTACAAATTGTACTACAGTTGTACAAATTGTACAACTGTACAGTACTCTGTACTGACAATAGAGACAGTAGACAGATAAATGATTAATCTAACATACTTTAAATGACAAAATAAGCTTTTAATGCAAAGTAATAATATTTTCAGTACAGATTAATCTTGTTTTACCTAAAATTATTTATTCATGACAAGTGATGTAAAAATCACGTATCTATGCATCAAATTATATTAAACAGACCAAATTTATTACTTAAATTTTCCTTGTTTAAAGAAACTTTTTTTGCATGACTAATTGTTTCTGATATACCTGTTTTCTAGTTCTGCATTTATTTCATTTTATTTTCTTAAAGTGAGTCATAATGTTTTATCATGTTAAATATAGAAGTTGTTCTTTAGAACTATTTTAATACTACCTGTGACATATTTTCAAAAAAATTCACATTAAAAAAATTAGACATAAAATCCCCAACTAAAAAATTCACACAAAACTATATTTTAGAATAAAAATTATTTTTATCAACTAAAATACCTGGAAAAGCATATATGCATCTTTAGCACAAGGTTTGAGGGTACTGACAGATCTTCTGTTACTATTTCCTTGTACCAGTATTGGTTGTTCTATAATATCTGCAATCAAAACAGGATGGGTTTTAGCAGTTCACAATAGCCTTTAATAAATTACATATTCTGTTTAAAAGATAATGTCTAAAATAAATATGTTTATATAATTATAAATTGTAATTATAATTTTCAGATTTAAAATTTCCAATTTTTAACATATGCCTCCAAAACAAAACAAAAAAAAAATGGGAATCTATTTTTATACCAAATACCATAAAAATCACTCTTTGTTACCTTACATTCACTCTAATAAGCTGGGTACTTTTGTCCATACATTTGGTTTCCCATTCTTTAGCCCCTTTATTTCATGGATTTAACATTCACGTGATCTTTAAATGTGCTTTTAAATATCAAACAGACATATAAATGTTTACCATATGGTTAACTCCTCTACCATTTCACTATCTTCAAGAGAATTACTGCTTGATCTGCTGCTATTACCATGTCAGTTACAGATATTCACCAGCTAAGAATCAGCTAGGATGGTGTTTCCCAACTCAGTATTTCTTTAATTAACTACTAGTAAAAAATATCATTCTCTGTAAGTTATGACAGCCTGTTTTGAATAAATATTGACTTAACGACTACCTGAAAAGAAAAAAGTTCTAAGTATTTCTACCTTACTATAAAGTATTAAATGGCAGATTAGCCTTAGAGACACACAACTAAAACTACCAATGCGGGAATTTTATTGAGGTTATGAATGTATAAATCATTCAAACTGGGGAACTGCCCTGTGTTATCACAATATGATTTTGAATATTTTAACCAAATGGGACACATTATAATTCCTTAATATTTCAAACTACTAGAATTCCACCTGCATTTTTCCCCAAGAAAAAATAAAGAAAAAACAATATACCAAAGTGGAAATATTCTTATAAAGGTATTTGATAAAAAATATTTTTAAATTATTATTATTATTTTTGAGACGGAGTCTCGCTCTGTTGCCCAGGCTGGAGTGCAGTGGTGCAATCACAGCTCACTGCAACCCTGCCTCTCAGGTTCAAGTGATTCTCCTGCCTCAGCCTCTGGAGTAGCTGGGATTACAGGTGCACTCCACCACACCCAGCTGATTTTTTGTATTTTAGTAGAGACGAGGTTTTACCGTGTTGCCCAGGCTAGTCTCAAACTCCTAAGCTCAGGCAATCCACCCACCTTGGCCTCCCAAAATGCTAGGATTACAGGCATGAGCCACCACACCCGGCCAAAAATTAATTTTTATATTATTTAAATGTTCTTAACACATGTTAGCAGATACAGACAAATATTTACGAGGGAAGCCCACTCTTGGAAATTTATCCTGAAGAAGTAATTCAAAAAGATATGTAGGAAACCACCCAAAACAGTTATAAAATACTGAACAGAATGCAAGTGTCCAATAGGAGACTAGTTCAGTTAAATTACAGAATGGCCACAAAATATAATGCAATAATTAAAATTTAAATTATAAGGATGAAGCAATAACATGAAAAATTCATAGAATGCAATGTTTGGTTAAAAAATACATATAATGCAATACTTGGTTTAAAATGTGAAATTATATTTAATACAAAATTATGCATATACTAGAAATAAACAAGGAAAACAAAAAGCCCATTCCTTAGGGTGATCAAATTGTGAGGAATTTATTTTTTAAGTTTCCATTATAGACATAATAATGTTGATCATTTCAGCAAAGGCTGAAAGTTAATAAAAATGAAATCATCCAAGAACCACCCACAAAGTAAAACAACTTCTAGCACTTTACCTCTGTGTCGTTCATCTTCAGCAACCATCCTCTCAAAAACAACAGTAACAACTTGTCGCACTGTAGCAGCAGCTGTATTATTTGTAATATTATCTTTCGTGAAGTGTAGTCGAAAACAAAGAACAATTGCCTGAAAACACAATTTTCATTTAGTGTGAAACAAGATTGAAGAGCAAGGCCATTATCTTTATTTTATCAGGTGTAACCACAAATTGAATAATGTTTGGTTGTTTCAATCACCAATATGAAAAGTCCCACCATTTTATACAATAAAATATAAAAATCCTCAGATTTTGATGTAATTCAAGTTCTCAGTAAATATATAACCACAGAAGATTAGCTATGGTAATGTGAAACATACCTTTTAAACTTTGGTTCTTTTAACATCTATATAATAATGTGTTATGCTTTTATTTCCCCAGAATGACTTGCTTTGCAAATAACAAGAACTCAAAGTTTGTTGTATCACTTAAACATCTGGAGAAGCTATACCTAAGCATATAAATAAATAAAATTATGAAACTTCTAAAAGGAGTCATTTTTTTCTTTTAAACCTCAAGCCTACTGAGGTGTAATTTATATACAATAAATTATAGAATACCTTAAAATTATATAATTTGATGAGTTCTGACAAACATGTGGGCCCATGAAACTAAGGCCACAATTGAGAAACGGAATATTTCCATCACCCCAAAAGTTCTCCTGTGCTCCTTTGCCACCCATCTCTTCCCCTACACTTGGCCCCAGGCAAGCACCCATGTGCTTTATTCACTGCAGATCAATGGGCATTTTCTATGATTTGTATATGAACAGATTAATTCAGTATGTGCTCATTTGGACCTGGCTTCATCCACTTAGAATAATATTTGTGAAATTCATCCACTTTGTTCTATGTATCAGTAGTTTGTACCTTTTATTACCAAATAGTATTCCATGGTATGAGTACACCATATTTTGCTTATCTGTTTACCTGCTGGTGAACATTTGGGCAGCTTCCAGGTTCTGACTATTGTAAAAAAAAAAAAAAAAAAAAAAAAACAGCTGCTATGAACATTCATATATGTAAGCCACTGTGAGGACATATGTTTTCATTTATCTTGGGTAAATATCTAGAAGTGAAATGGATGGGTCATCTGGTAAGAATAGGTTTAACTTTTTAAGAAACCAACAGTTGGCTGCGCACTGGGTGGCTCACACCTGTAATCCCAGCACTTTGGGAGGCTGGGGTGGGCAGTTCACTTGAGGCCAGGATTTGATGACCAGCCGGGCCAACATGGTGAAACCCCGTCTCTACTGAAAACACAAAAAATAGTTGGGTGTGGTGGTGCACACCTGTAATCCCAGCTACCTAGGAGCCTGAGGCATGAGAATCCCTTGAGCCTGGGAGGTGGAAGGTTGCAGTGAGCCAAAAGCGCACCACTGCACTCCAGCCTGGGCAACAAAGCAAGACTCTATCTCAAAAAAAAAAAAAAAAAGAAAGAAAGAAAGAAAAAAAAGAAACCGCTAGTTTCCCACAGTGGTTTTACAATTTTACATTTCTGCCAGCAGTATATGTGAATTTAGAACTATCCTACATTCTCCATAATACTTGATGTGGTCTTTTTTCATTGTAACTATTCTAATGGACGCATACTATTTCCTTATGGTTTTGTGTGTCCCTAATAATAACACTAAACTTCTTTTCATGTGTTTGTCACCCATTTGAATATTTTACTTTAATGAAGTGTCTGTTGAAACCATTTGTCCACACTTAATGTGTGGGTCGTCTGTGTTATGAATGAATTTTTTTTTTTTTTTTTTTTTTTTTTTTTAGTGTCTCCCCCCCCCCCCCCCCCCCCCCCCCCCCCCCCCCCCCGCCCCTAATGTATAGTGGAGGTCACTGTGGTTCATTCTGACTTGTATGGTGCTAATTATTAATGACATGAATTTAGAGTTCTTCATATAGTCTAGATACAAGTCCTTTGTCAGATATTTGTATTTTCCCACGTTCTGTGGCTTTCTCAAGGATTTTAGATTTTGTGCCCTAATAAATCTTTGCCTACCCCAACATCACAAAGATTTTCTCCTATTTATCCTTCCAAAAGTTTTCTAGTTTTAAAAGAAGCCATTCTTGGAGAAAAACATAATGGTAGTTTTAGAATCAATGCCTATCACCTTAATTATATTAAAAGTTTTAAAAGACACAAGCCTCTGGTACTGCTGCTACTCTTTAGATTTCAACATAAAGGAAAGACACAGTACATAGTTGTATAGGAGCCTTCATATTAACTCAATTTTATACTATTTCTTTATACTTGATTTTTCTCATCCCCAATTATTGCATTTCCAAATTAACCAACATACTAAAATAAATCCTATAATCAGTTCTTATTTCTTTAGTAGATCAAATGAAAACCTTTAATAAAATTTTAAATACATGTATCAGAATAATTTGATAGCTAGAAATCAAGAGGAACTATACACAACAAAAGGATATATTAAAATATATACAATATTGTATATAGCTTGTGTAAGCTTAAAAGAATAAACTATTTGCAATTAAAATCTCATTATGATCTAAGAACATCACTTGAGATAGTATACACAGCTTAATGTGACAGTACACTGTACTTCTTTATAAGTCATGCAAATTATAATAAAGCTGTTACTGACAGTCTAAAAAATTCCTTAGACAATAATTCATTTACTGCTATGTTACTCTCTACTTTCTGTTCCTTAGAAATATTTCATAATAAAAAACTTTTTAAAAAGTGAAATAAATAATAGAATGGCTCTTACGTGTTCCACAGTGGGTGGGAGTGATGACAAAATGAGAGATAGCTATCATACATACAATCTTATCTAGTATAAATGGTGAAAGGAGATTTGTCTAGCCATTTAAGAAACATATTTGAACTGTCTGGTTTACATATCATATACATATGAAATTATGGGTAGGGAGAGCTATCACAAGGAATCTAAAATGCTCAAGGCAATATCCTTTTTTTATTTTTGAGACAGAGTCTCACTCTGTCACCCAGGCTGGAGGGCAGTGGCGTGATCTTGGCTCACTGCAAGCTCCGCCTCCTGAGTTCACCCCATTCTCCTGCCTCAGCCTCCTGAGTAGCTGGAACTACAGGCGCCCACCACGCTCGGCAAATTTTTTGTATTTTTAGTAGAGACAGGGTTTCACCATGTTAGCCAGGATGTCGCAATCTCCTGACCTAGTGATCTCACAACACGTTTTTTTTTTCTTAGTTCCCTCCTTCCCTATTCTTACTCTTGGGCTATTTTCTCTCTTTTTTCCATTTCCTAGTAACTATTCAGCCTGTTGGCTGTACCCAAGGGACTTTGATTAAGCTCCCCAACCTGATTTCAACTCTAACCTGGAAAAAATAAGGTACCAACAGTTATTAACATGCAGTGTCAATTACCACAATAGCTGTAGGGAAGTTGCTTTTGGTTCAAATGGCACCAACCTTTTCTCTTTCAGCCAGCTTATTCAAATACTGTCTCAAAGCACATATGAACTCTGGCAAACAGTTTTCCTACCTTAGAAAGTGCCTCATCATGAACTACGGTATTGGTTGTTAAAAGAACAAGAACTGTTTGAAGTAGCTTAAGTTCTTCAAGACTATTCTCCATTAGCTGCCAAAGCATGTTAATTATATTTCCAGCTGCAGTCTGTAAAATAGTTATTTTAATTATTGTCAACAAATAAAATACAGATGCTGATGTTCCTAAATAAGAAAAAGTATACAAACCTACCTCACCTGAAGAGGATTTCTTGATCACAATAACAAAAACCATATCTTTAGATCTCTAGATCCAAACACATCTCTCAAGTAATTTAGGACTTACCATCAATTAATTCTCTCCCTCAAAAATTGTAATATCCTATTTGAATATATACACATAGCAGCAAGCAGTTTTGTAATACGTAGTCAAAATCACAGCTCATTTCTACAACATTGATAGATTGTATTTGGACATGAATAATATGGACATATGCAAATTAGCTATGAGTCTGCTGTTTCAGATACAATACTTCATTTATAGTATGTTACAGAAAAAAAATGCAACCCATATTAACAACACATTGGCACACTCAATTAAATCTGACATTGTTTAAGATGATACATTAATGGCAAAACATTTATTACTTCTATTATAGTACTTATGGAGTACAAAATTAAGATAACACCATTAAATTTGAGACCAACATGCAGATTCATAGTTAAGAAATATTTCTCATTTTTCCAACATAAGGTTAGATACAAACAATACATTTAAGTTAATGAAAAACAAATTATTACTCCATATAATCTAGGAAAGAGAGTCATGCTCTTCCCTCTTCTCTTTATAAAAGAAAAATTAAATAACCAATTAAATTGAAAACTTGCTTGAGTCTCAAAATTTTCATTTATATTACTGAACTGTGACTTCTTAGATTACAAATGACTTGCAAAAATACTTGTGAGTGTTTAATGAGAAGAAAATTTGGCAATATTTTTAATAAAGGCATTTTCTCCAAGCACATTGCTATTCATAAAATAGTTTTTTATTAAATATCAGGTATGTTTCATTCTCCTTTCACGAAAACTCTTTATTCAACTCTTAGGTGCAGTTTAGATAAAAATCTTTATATTACCTCAGACACGACTTCATGTGACATGAGTCTCTGAATAGCAGCCAAACATAGCTGAGTGATCTTCGGTTCCTTGGTTCCACAACCCATTAAAAAAGGCTGTACAACCTCTGAGCTGTTCTCTTTCAGTGCTTCATTTAGAACACATATAAAGTAAATTATTAAAATTAATCTATAAGAATGCATTTTTATATAATTACAACCATTTTATGTAAAACAAACACCAAAACAAAAATCAAACAGCAGGAGTTAAAATACCTTGAATATACACTCCAGACTTTGTATCTAAGCTATATGCCTTAACTACTGCTTTCCCATGCTTTTCTCCTAACACTGTCCTTTGGTTCTCCTCCATCTTCTGCTACAAACTCTATTAGGACATGGATTTTCAAAACTTCTTTCCCACCTCAAAAAAGCGCTCTATTTCTTCATATACTGCAGGAGGGAAAACATAAATAAGAATTCCCACCCTAAAATAGAATCATTAAAAATAGTACATACATCATCCACACAATACTTGTAAATGAATATTTAGAAATTTCCTAGCATATTATATGCCTTGAATTTAAACACCCCAATTTCTTCAAGAAATAAACACATTTCATTAAAAACAATAACATTACTCCTCTTATTACTGAAACAGCACTTTAAATTAATTGGGTGCACATGCTATAATTCCAAACCTTAATTTAACTTCTTCTACCAAGAGCCAGCTCACTCAGAAGTTTTTAAGTGGCAATAAAAATGTAAGAGGTTAGAAAATGTACAAACTGAATTACACATAATTAAATTTACAAATGAAATTAAATCTACACACATTTACTGAAAGGCTACACAAAGATGGATAAGACAGGTTTGTCATCCTTACAGAATTTGAATAAATGACACGGAATTCCAAGTCAAGAGAACATTAAATTTATAAGCGATTCTGTGTGTGTGTGTGTGTGTGTGTGCGCGCGCGCGCGCGGGTGTTTGTGTTTTGTTTGTTTTTTTATTTTTTATTTGAGACGGAGTCTTGTTCTGTCCCCAGGCTGGAGTACACTGGCTCGATCTCGGCTCACTGCAAGCTCCGCCTCCAGGGTTCACACCATTCTCCTGCCTCAGCCTCCCGAGTAGCTGGGACTACAGGCGCCCGCTACCACGCCCGGCTAATTTTTTTGTATGTTTAGTAGAGATGGGGTTTCACCATGTTAGCCAGGATGGTCGCGATCTCCTGACCTCGTGATCCACCCCCCTCAGCCTCCCAAAGTGCTGGGATTACAGGCGTGAGCCACCGTGCCGGGCCGCAATTATTTGTTATTAAAAGAACTAACTCTATCAGTTATTTTTTGAGGCAAGACATGCAATAACGACAGATAAATCTAAGTTTTAAAATGTTTTCCAGAATCACCATTAAAAATGTAAAACCAGTGTTAACATTATCATTTAAATCCTCACCTTCTTCTTCCAAAGCTCTCTTTATGGTATGGTAAATTAAGACTACAACTTCCTACAGGCTGCTCTGCAAAGTCCCTCAGTATGCCAGCATAAATTACTGATTTAGCACAGCTAAAGATGGCAAATATAACTGGCAAAGAACAGTGTTCCCAAAAGGGCTCCCTGTCCTTATTCCCTTGCTTTCTTGTACACAAAGGTTTTGATTCAAACCTAGAGACAAATTTTCCATAACGATAAGAATGATTAAAAGATGATGACCATAAAGCTCCTCTTAAAGCTTCAATAAAATGATTAAATATCCTACCAGATTTAATCCTGCCTGAACCACTGAAGTATGAGGCAACCCCTATCTCTGCTGAACACTCCTTATTAAATGTTATTCAGGCAAATTAAAAGCTCTTAATAGTAACCAAGTTACATTTATAATTTTCATGTGTTAATATGTTTCTCATTTCAGCATCACAATAATCTTAGAGAGTTTAGAGGGCCTGATGTGGCCCTACTGATACAGTAAGTAGGTAGTAAAGCCAGAATTTGAAAATACCGTATGTCTTCTAACTCCTGGTTCACTATTCTTCCTACAATATTATGCTGCCATTCTTTATGGTACATAGGAATGGTACACCCTGACAATAATGGAAGTTAAAAGAGGACCCAGTGATTTGTACTTTAAAGTTGTCTGCCTGAAGTCTTCAGACAAATAAAGGAAAATGAACTTGTTTTCATAAAAAACAAAAAAGAAGATATACTTTCATAGGGTCTATCTGAGATGCCAATGATTTTAAGACATACCCATAATATCAAGACAAAAAAAAAAAATCAGTGCCAATTAAACTATAACACAATGCTTTCTAATCACTTAGAATTCTTCTTCACAATTTCATCCTCTGGGCCATCAACAGCACTAGGAATGAACACCTTATTTCTTGAAAGAGTACTTCACTATTGTCTCTGAGATTTTCTTCTAAGTCAATGGCACCCATTCTGCATGTTTTGATGCTGGTGCTTTTTTGATCTTACCATAAGATGTTAACAGAAAGTTTTCAATAACCAGGGTGACATTTTAAATAGCAATTCAATTCAACATATGTGGTATCAACAATGCATGCAACTCAACTGATGTGATAATAACATGAAGAACTATGAACAAGTTCATGCACATATTGAAAAAGATAACTACAACATCACCTGGCTCACAATGATTCTAAGATGCCATCAACTGCAAGATGCATCCCAATCAGGGGATGTTAAAAGGTGAAAAAAACTGTGCATATTAAAATCAACAAAATAAGGCGAGTCATGGTGAAATGCTGTGTACATGTTGGCTACAACCAGGTCTATCAAGCTGAGATAAACTTAAGGTAGTAATAAAAATTAATTTTTAAATTTATTTTAATGAAATTCAAAGGAATCAAACATCTATTTCTCATGTTTTCCCTCCCAGTTTATATGAGAATAATAAAAAAGGAAGTTCCTATGTTATCTAGAATAAATTATCAACAAAACAATAAAATCTATTTATTCTAAGTCTTCTTAAGTATACTTTGAAAAACAAAAACATATCCACTGTATTGAGATCATAATTCAGTAAGAGAAAAATCATAAGGAAAAAAGTTACTGCTTTTCCTTTTCTTCTGTAAAAAGTGGTAATAGTCCAAAGAAGTGTAAATTATTCTTGTTCTTCCAACTGAGAGATATCCACTCTCCACAATAACTTTAATAATATGTTTGTTAATGATAGCTTTACATAAATACCTTCCTACAGACTGAGATTTTAGAAACCACACTGAGGAAAAGGCTGTACAGCAATATAAAGAAGACATTTTACTTTAGCCATTTTGAATGTCATTCCAGAAAAAAAAAAAAAAAAAGCTGATTCTTTCTGATCAAAGTTATTTGTTTCTATTTTCATTAAAACATAAAAATAGGTTATGGAAAGGGATAAAAGAAAAAGTTTATTTTCCACCTAAGTCCCTCAATAAGTGTAACTCTTTGTGTTGTAACACTGTGTTGGATAAATATTGTATTTCCAAATTATATAACTGTGAGATCAAATGATGCACTTTCACACACCTGAAAAAGGTCCACCAGGTCCCCATATCCTAGGGGTTTCCTTGCTCTGAGCATTTTCACTGCATAATTGCAGTTTTTATCCTGGAAAAAAAGAATTAAACTAGGATACCCCACTATGAATCATATTAACAGGGGTTAATAAAAGTTTCATTGTGAAAAAATTTTAACAGCCATTAAAGAATAAACTTCGATTCTTATGAAAGAAAATGTGACTTAGACATTATTTTGATACTCAAAATGCTTAAATCTAGCTCTGGGGAAGACTGATATTCCTAACAACATTAAAAAATACTTTAGTGGGTTCAAAAGGTCTGAAAATAAATGATTCGAGAATGACTACAAATGAAAGTCTAGGCAGTTTCACATTAAAAGCACATTACAGGAAAAGGAAGGGCTGTTTAACAAATGATGTTGGCTCAATTGGTTAGTAATTTTGCAAAAGAAAAAATCTAAATCTTCCCATTACCCAACATGTTACTAAGAAAAATCAAACCATAAAATAAAAATGACTATCAACTATGTAGAAGGAGAAGGTCATCCTAAGTGTAAAGCTACAAAAGAACTCAGAAAAATTGGTTAGGTTATATAAAACTGAAAAGCATCTAGATAAAAAAATTAAAAGGTAAATGGTCTAGAAAAAATATGATGTCAACATAATGGGAGGTTAATATTTTTCCTGTATCAAAAGCTCAAGCAATTTGATAAGGAAAACACAAAAGTTCAAAGAAATGAATGTAAAATTTTAAAAAAGAATAATTTAATACAGGGAAAATGATCAACATCTAGTGGAAGTGAGAATTCATTTGTCTATTTAATCACCAAAAGACTTTTAAAAATAATAATCCTGGCAAGGAAGTTATAAAAATATGCTCACTTATTGTTGGTAAAGGTATAAACTTTTATCTTTTTGGAAAGCAGTGTGGTAGCATATTCTAAGAATTTTAAACATATTCATACCCTTTAACCTTATAATCCCACTACTAGAAATTTATTAAGAAATAATTCTAAATACTGAAACATGCCTAGCATAAGGAAATCGTTAAACTACAATCCACTTGCTGAAATAGCATACAGCAATTTTATTAAATTTCTTTTTATTATACTTTAAGTTCTGGGATGCATGTGCAGAACGTGCAGGTTTGTTACACAGGTGTACATATGCTGTCGTGGTTTGCTGCACTCATCAACCCATCATCTACATTAGGTATTTCTCTTAATGCTATCCCCCCCCATCATACAGCAATTTAAAACATTTAAAAAGACTGGCATCAAAGAAAAATATTTATAACAAAAATACAAATGATATAAGAATGTAAATTTTAAAAATTAAAAGGAATAAATAAAAGCACACTGTACTGCAGATAAACTATGTAATCTCCCTGGCTCAACAGGTCAATTTCTGAAAATGGCATTATTTACAGCCCCCCATGTCTTCTAGCCTGGATTTTAGAAATAGCTTCTCAAAAGATCTCTGCCTAAATGATGATACACTGAAATATACCCTCCACACTGCTATCCTAATTTACTTAAAATATGAATATGAACGTGTCACTTCCCTGACTCAAACTCTTCTCATCATGCTGCTCAGGATATCACATAATGGCCCTTATGAAATTCCTGACAGCCATTCCCCCCCTTCATACTTTACAGTCAGGCAACACCTCAATAGTGTATCCAAATACACCAAGTTGTATACACAAACCTCATGTATTTAAGAAGTCCCCTTTACTTTATACTTTTATATTTTATTTGCCTGACTAAGTCTTCCTCAGGCTTCCAGACTCAGCTTCGGATTCCCAGGCTGGGTTAGGTGCCTTCCCTATGTCCCTATAACAACCCTCTCTATACTTCCATCTTGGCATTAACCACATAGTTTAATAAAAGTCTATGCTGAGGGTCAGACTCCTTCATTTTTCTGTTATCTGGTTGACATGAACTTAAGATGATAAAACTCACGTACTCAAATCATGTAAAATTAAAGAGACATAGAAAAACATAGCCTACATTTAAAGAGGGCTTACTATTTCCCATGTAGGATGCTAAATACTGGCAACATAAGTCAGAATAAGATGTTACTCTGACCTCAAGGAGTGTCATCTAGAAGAAAAAGTTTCTAGAAAAGGTCTTCAAAAGCCAAATGAAGGAGAAGGTAGGCTAAACAGAAAGAAGGGCACAAACATTTCTTTGAAGTGTATTTCTTGTATTTCCATATAGACTGGAGGTGAATTTCATTACCCATCTTCATATCTCCTCTAATGATTCTTACATAATTATTTACTTATTAGGAATATGTTACATGACATATTCTATAGATGTTTGTAAAATATCACAAGCACATTTATTAAGAAAAGATATTAAATATATTAAATATATAAATATAAATGTATTAAATTTTAAACGCAAATAAATTACCTTTTAAAATCAGAAAAAAATTCCAAAGTATATTTACTCATTGCTACTTAAAGACCTTTTAGCTATGAGCTCTTTAAAAAGAAGATGAGGGAACAACACGTGAAAAAAGAACAAAAGTCACACCAACTGATTATTTATGTAAAAATTCCTTATGTATACTGACAGCAGCTGAAAGTAGCCACAGGTAGATGTAACCACTATGGCTTGGGGTAGGGGCTAAATATACAATGTTAAAATATACCACAACTTCATTGATTTCCTTGTTACAAATATTTATTTAAAAAGCAGATTATGTAATTTTTGTATAACAAATAATTTCTGAATTTTTAGTATACTATAAGCTAGGATAATAAACACAATTTGTAATATATAATATTCATATAATATTAAATGTAAGATTAAGGCATTTGGCCTTGTAAATGAAAACTTTATGTTGCTATCTCTCATTTTCAAAGTTTTATCTTTAAAGAAAATGGAAATTTTGAGATAATGATCTGTACATCTGAATCAATGCTGACATTACCTGGCATAGCATTCCCACTTATGTCAGCATTCATGACAGCAGTGAAAACAAAGAAAAATAAACATTAAAGGAGGATGCTTAAAAGAAGGGGAGATGTAAAGCAAAGACTTATTCTGAAATATAAATAATATTCCCTTGGAAAATAAATCTAAGAAAACTAAAGTTGACTAGCAATCTATGCCAAGTATCATTAATTAAACTACTTGATCCAAATTAAAAGTTATCATTCTTACAACAAATCTTTATATATTCTGAATATGCAGAGACATATGAGATTTCAATATCCAATCTCATTTGAGACTCCTCAATTGTTTGGTATTTTTGACATACATTAAAGCACAAAAGTTGTATAGTCTCCTATAGTCTCAAGTACCATAAAGAAGTAAATACTTCTCAGGAAATTTTAAAAAGTTAACTAAAATTTTTTCTCAGTATTAACTGTAGTCTTAATTATATAGTTTAGAAACTATATACTGACTAATTTAAACTCTGTTTTGAAGAGCCTCTGATTTTCAGGATGACAGTGGTCTATTAACCTGTAACTTTTAGGTATTATTTTAAATACTTCATAAAAAATACTAGGATAAAGTTTAAGTGCGAATATACCTCCTCAAGTACATAGCTCTGGATACTATGAAGATCAAAGCATGACTATTAATTGTATTTGCATACAGCTCTGTTCTAACTTGATTTGAATAATGCTAATTGAATTAAAATGAAATTAAAAGCTGCCTATATATTTAAATCATACCAACTAAGTCAAAATTTTTCTTACTCATCTTAAGAGTAATTAATTAGACATTTTACGTGGGATAGAATGCTGGAATAACAGTGATCTTCTGAGGAAATCAGTCATTTTTTTAAAAAAAAGTCTTTCGCCGGGCGCGGTGGCTCAAGCCTGTAATCCCAGCACTTTGGGAGGCCGAGACGGGTGGATCACGAGGTCAGGAGATCGAGACCATCCTGGCTGACACGGTGAAACCCTGTCTCTACTAAAAAATACAAAAAACTAGCTGGGCGAGGTGGCGGGCGCCTGTAGTCCCAGCTACTCGGGAGGCTGAGGCAGGAGAATGGCATGAACCCAGGAGGCGGAGCTTGCAGTGAGCTGAGATCCGGCCACTGTACTCCACCCTGGGTGGCAGAGCGAGACTCTGTCTCAAAAAAAAAAAAAATAAATAAAAAATAAAAATAAAAATAAAAAAAAGTCTTTCACAAACTATAAAACCAATGAAAATTTGTATTATTGGAGAATAATTAAGGACTTACCACGGTATCAACAATGATATTAGCAACAGTAAATATTTCAAATATTTACAGTGATATTCGAATATGATTGGCCTATGGTAAGTCTCCAAAATAAAAATATCCAGGTCATCATTTATCTTTAAACATCCATTTCCCCACAGTCGCTAATCTGCCTAACTGCCTAAGTCTCCCATTAAAACCCACATGCTGGCCAGGCGCAGTGGCTCCGCCTGTAATCCCAACACTTTGAGAGGCCGAGACGGGAAGACCATGAGGTCAGGAGTTCGAGACCAGCCTGGTCAACATGAGGAAACCCTGTCTCTACTAAAAATACAAAAATTAGCCAGATGTGGTGGTGGGCACCTGAAATCTCAGCTACTCAGGAGGCTGAGGCAGGAGAATTGCTTGATCCCAGAGGTTGCAGTAAGCTGAGATCATACCATTGCACTCCAGCAGGGGCGACAAGATCAAAACTGAGGAAAAGTCTCAGGAAAAACAAACAGAAAAACAAACAAAAAAAAACCCACTTGCCAACCTTCCTAACCCAACGATGTGCACCTCTGCCTTTACCCACCACTTTCACTATACCCCTTCTCAAAATGCACACAGAGCATTATTCACTTCTGTGCATAATGTTATAAAACTATTTGGTGTTTTGATAGACTGTTCAAAATCAGGGAAAAAGCTGTGGGAAACAGATGTAACTGAGGAGAGCTTATCCGAAGGGGAAATTTCCAGCAAAGCTGGATAGCCTAAGCGAAATCCACTCTTGCCCCCCGATCCTTAATCTGCCCCCAAAAATCTTCATTTCATTTCATAACACTCTGAAATCCCACCAGTTACAGACTTACTGGTATCCCTTTTAAAAAATGTAAAATATATGAAAGTTAAAGAGATTATTTACTATTGGGACTTTGTATAAATTAATTTAATAGGACTACTTTCCTCATAGATTAGCTGAGATCAACAGCACTACTGGAACTGGAAATGCAGATTAAAGGATCACTGAAGCAAGCACCGGTTACGTATGGAATACTTGGGAGTAAGTAGCTAACGTGGAAACCTGGTGATACCATGGTAGCACACTGTAGCAGGAAGACCATGGGCTCCTGAACACTCCTGGATTTTAATCTGGTTCCACCACTTTTCCGGTGACCTTGGGCAAGTAACTTAACCTCTTCACATCTCAATTTGCTCTACTATCAAATAAGATAATATCTCCCCACAAGGTTGTTATGTAAGATAGAATAACACAAGTGCCTTGCATATAACAGACTCAAAAAAAAAAAAAACAAAAAAAAAAAGTCAGTTTACCTCTTTTCCATGTTCATTACTGAGGCAAGAACAAAAGGCACCAAGGAAGAGAAAGGAGTGGACTGTGTAGAAAAGAAGGATGCCAAAGAGAAACTCCTGAAAATTCCTCCTTGAAAACCGGGTTCAATCAAGAGAAGGTAAGAAAATAGTTTTGTTTTCTTTTCTCTACTTCACTCTCATTCTTTTTTCATGATCATATTGCCTTAGTCCCAAGACTCAAAATTCATATGGTAAACTAAATACAGAAGACTACGTTATGAATTGTTTGTATTATATTAAAGAGAAAGTACATCATAGAAGGTGGACTGAGAACCAATCTTTCATTCAATTCAATGGAACAAATATTACTGAATGCTTTTTATGGTGTGTCTCAGGTGATTAGCAAAAAGTGGAGGAGAATGCAAAGATGAGTAAGAAAAAAATTTCTTGCCTTTAAGGAGTTAGTAGTGTTAAGGTTTCTGATTTCAGAGAATTTTATAGCACTCATCTCTGGGAAACACAATCAGTTCATAAGTTATGGACTTTTGCCCATTCTGTATCATTATGAATAGCATATGTTAGGTCATAAGGAAGAGATATTACAGAAAACTGATGGCTTTTATAATAAAGATTCTACTTTTACTATTAGCCAAATTTTTGTTTATTATTAAATTTTTAATACATAAAATTACCTGCCAAAATTTCGGTGTTTCGTGCAGCAATTGTTTTAACTTTTATTATTCCTGATTCAGCAGCCTGCAAGAATAAAAATAATTAGAACACAAAATTTACTGCCAAAATGAATTATCTATGGAAAATAAGTCATATGTGATAGACAAAATATCAAGCACAGTCACTACCACCTTTTTAATTTTCAAACCATCAGATACCAAGCCCAGTAGTGACATATATGTTAAATGTAATAAAATATGATTAATTTGATTATTCACAAGCAAACTCTGCATGCACTACAACATGTTGCCTTCCTCACTCTCAATCCCCTGCAAAGTTAAATTTTCCAAGAATAAAAATAACAAACAAAAACAAAATCTACTGAAAATAATTAGGCTCCTTTTCCCCATTTCAAGCCTCCTCTCCCTCCACCACACACAAAAAAATTGTAGAACACTGAAAAATCAAGTAAAACTGCTGTGTTGGATTTATTTATTTATTTATTTATTTTTGACGGAGTTTTTTGCTCTTGTTGCCCAGGCTGGAGTCCAATGGCACGATCTTGGTTCACCACGACCTCTGCCTCCCTAGTTCAAGCCATTCCCCTGCCTCAGCCTCCCAAGTAGCTGGGATTACAGGCACCCACCACCATGCCTAGCTAATTTCTGTATTTTTAGTAGAGACAGGGTTTCACCATGGTGGCCAGGCTGGTCTTGAACTCCTGACCTCAAGTGATCCACCCATCTCAGCCTCCCAAAGTGTTGGGATTACAGGCGTGGGCCACCATGCCCAGATCTGTGTTGGATTTTAAAAGCTACTTTGTTTTCTTTTTTGAGAGTGAATAACCAAACACTTCATTAACCATAGTATGTTTAGCGGGCAGTACTGGCAAGTCACATAGTATTTTACAGAATGCCACAGAACTGCACTGTCCAATTTGGTAGCCATTTGGCTACATGCGGCTATTAAGCACTTGATATGTAACCAGTCTGAATTGAGCTATGCTCTAAGTGTAAAATATATACTAGGTTTTGAAGACTTAATATTAAAAGAATATAACCTATCCCTTAATATTTATACTGACGACATGTTGAAATAATATTTCAAATTATTAAGTTAAATTATTATTAAAATCAAATGTGTTTCTTTTTACTTGTTTTCCCTTTTTTTTAGGGACAGGGTCTTGCTGTACTGCCCAGCCTGGACTGCAATGCCACAGTCATGGTTTATGGTAGCCTCGAACTGCTGGGCTCAAGTGATCCTTCCACCACCATCTTCCAAGTAGCTGGTACTATAGGTATATGCTAATTTTTTAGTTTTTTTGTAAAGACAGGGCCTTGTTATATTGCCCAGGCTAGTCTTGAACTCCTGACCTCAACCGATCCTTCCACCTCAGCCTCCCAAAGTGCTAGGATTACAAGCATGAGCCATTGCACTTGGCTTCTTCTTACTTTTTAATGCAGTTAAAAATTACATACATGTATTACATCTGTAGCCCACATTATAATTCAATTGAAGAGCGCTGAGACATAATATTGACATACTATTTCCATCATAGAAACTCAGAACATTTTTATTATTTAGAAACATGCTATTTTATACATACACTGTTATCTATACCTCCAAAGATAGTAAGTACGTACTCATAAGAAGCTATATGTACAAGTTTTCTTATTAATTTGCTTGCTACTTAGTCATTTATTTTATCTCTTACTGCTTGCTAAGGGACAAGTGGTAGCAGTCTCTAAAGGTTTAAAAATAATTATGTAAAAACACCAGTATGCTCTGGCCTGTTAGTCTGACAAACAACGAACTGATGTCTAAAATAAAGAACACATTGTAAGATATACCATGTGTAGTAGACTTCTGTCATTTTGTTGGCTCCAAGCATATCAAGCCCCTGCTTGTGTTTGAAGAATTCCTAACTTCATAAATTTTGGTGCAAAACAGAGCCTATTTTCCACTATTAAAAATGAAAATGTAGATGGTTTTCCACATGCCCTGCTGGCAGCCTATGCTTACCCATAGAGATGTGCCCACCAGCAATTTTGAATGTGGAGCCTAGTAACAAAGAGCAGAGACAATAAAGAATTCTTTCTGATGACAGCAATAGTGAAAGCAGTATCTAGTTTCTGAAGGCAGCAGAACCAGTAGTGGACTGGAGTGACCAGCACACCCAGAAGTGCAATCAGCAGCATCCAGTCATTATTCAGCAGACACAGCCGTAATGGTCGCGTTGGCATGAGTTTTGCCATGGTGCTAGTTGTTTAGCCTCCCCTTTGTTCATGTACTTTTTCTAGGTTCAAGCCCTCTACCAACTCTGTAAACCACTCAATATCCTATCAGTAAAGTTTATTTCTGCTTAAATCCACCAGAGTCAGCTTTCATTGCTCACAACTAAGAAGCCTAATGGATACACTAGGACTTATTTCTAAAACTTTAGAAAACGGAAAGGTCCCAAATTAAATTAATACATCTACCAGAAGAAAAACACGGTCAAAAGGAATTACTTCAGGGAAAGATTACTGGTGTTCTGATTATTTGGGCGTTGTGTATTAGAAACAGTGGAAGCTTTTTTTTATTATTATTATTATACTTTAAGTTCTAGGGTACAAGTGCATAACGTGCAGGTTTGTTACATATGTATACTTGTGCCATGTTGGTGTGCTGCACCCATCAACTCGTCAGCACCGGAAGCTTTTAAATAAGTCCTGATGTCCCGATTGCAACCCAGTTAAACCAGAATGACTGCTGGTGGGAGCCAGCCATCAGTATTTTAAAAAATCTTCATGTGATTCCAATATACAGTAAAATTTAAAAGACTACAGCAATAATACAAGCAAGAGATAATGATGGATTGGCCCAAGATTGTTAGTGATAGAGATGGTAAGAAGTGGTGAGATTCTTGATATACCTTGAAGATGTACAAACCACAGCAAATTTACTACTGTAAAAATTATAGAACACTGAAATTATTATGTGCATTTTGTAACATTCACACACCCCATCTCAAATTATCTTGGATCAATTTCTTACTGAGGCAGTGGAAATTAATCTGTGGTCACTGAAATTTCTTCCATCATCATTTTCAAGTTTAACCTCTCCCCTTTCTCACTATGGCCCTATATACCTTGCATAGGTCCAAAGTCAATATGTGGTTTTGCTTCGGTGCAAACAGAGATTGATTAAATTGAACCATCATAAATATGAATGTAATTTATCCAGACTTTCTGAATTCTAGTCAGTCAAACCTGAATGGTTTCCAAAATCCATCCTGTACCATGCTAGATGATAGACGTCAGTAAATGATTTCAGATTCGCCAGACATTGTCCTGATTTCCTGAGATGAGTAAGAGTTGAACCATGAATGTGTGCACATGTCTAATAAATACCTTTATGCAAACACACAATAAGGAGAAGGAAAAGGAAGTTTGTTTTTCATTTTGAGACCAGGTCTTACTCTGTCACCCAGGCTGGCGTGGCAATGGCGTGATCACAGATCACTGCAGCATGGACCTCTAGGCTCAAGCAATGCATCCCCATCAGCCTCCTGAGTAGCTTGGGACCACAGGCGCACACCACCACATCTGGCTAATTTTTGGGGGTTTTTTTTTGTAGAGACAGGGTCTCCCCGTGTTGCCTAGGCTGGTCTCAAACTCCTGGGTTCAAGCGATCCTCCTGTCTCAGCTTCCCAAAGTGCTGAAATTATAGGGGTGAGCCACCACGCCTGGTCAAGTATTTTTTAAGTAGTTCCAAAATGGTAACTTAAAAGATATATAACCAGTATTTTCATTCTTAAATTCAAGGAATTGCCAAAAGGACTGTTTGTTGCCTTAGATATAATTAGACATATCTCATAGCTCCTCATTTTTAACATCCAAGTTTCTACTGTCAAAATACTCTGGAATTGTATCATCTTATTCTCATAGGAACCCTGTGTTGATGGAAAATGTCACTATTAACAATTATTGACACACTTGTATATCACTTAGGTATGAAATAAGACTAGCCTACACCTTTAAGGGTATTCTGTATGAACAGAGGTCTTCACAATCAGATTTCCTTCCATGTATCAAGGACTGTAGGTGTGAAAAGAAACTGTTAGCTTCTTGCTTTAAAAATATTCCCTATTCTGATCAGATACCAGGTATATCTGTAGGGAACCTAATCAATTGTAAACAGTTTTGGTTTTTTTTCCCTTAATTGATACTTATGCAAAAAAAAAAACAAAAACAAAAAAAGAGGAAAAAAAGAAGATGAAAAAGTTCTACAGACTTGAATAGAAATGATATAGGTTAAGGTGAGTAATCTAATCTATTGCTGAGGACAATCTATGAGTTGGAAAGAATGCCAAAGCCTTAAATACACTGCAGCATTTAATATGTTACCTTAAAATTAATCTTCTCAAGAAACATTTTCTTCTTTTCTCAAAACCCTTTGCTGACTGCTTTTCTAAGACCACCTAGAGTATCCTTGACTTCATTTCTCACTCAGTAAACTCTTCCTGTGTAATACCATACAGCCAGCCCTCCGTATCCACTGGTTCTGCATCTGTAGATTCAACCAACTGCAGATCAAAAATATTCCAGGGTGGGGGGATACACACACACACACACACACACACACACACACACATATTTTAAAATACAGTATAACAACTATTTACATAGCATTTACACTATATTAGCTATTATCTAGAAATGACTGAAATTATATGGGAAGATATGCACAGGTTATGTGCAAATATTACAACATTTAATATCAGGGACTTGAATATCCTCAGATTTTTGGTATTCCCGGGGGTTCTTGGAACCAATTCCCTGCAGATATCAAAGGATGGCTGTAATTTCATGGTTTCATTTACTTTCTAACTGCTGAAGACTTCTAAATTATATTCCTGTTCCTGATCTGTCTCCTATACTACAGAAATTATTAACCTAAATGTTTAAAAGGCACCTTAAATTCAACATTTTGAAAACAGATGTTATCATTTCCTTCTACCCCCAAACTCCTACCTCAGCCAGAGAAACCTATTACTTCTTTCTACAATTTCTATTTTTCTGACCAGCAGCATCATCTATCCAGTCACTGACCAGATACCCGGGTTTTTTCCCTCAACTCACAAGTCTAATCAGTCACAGAGTCTTTTGGTTAATGTATCTTGTACCTTTTTCTCAAATCTCACTCCCACACTTTAATTCAAACACTCATTATCAACCTAAATGAAGAAATGTCTCTACCTACAATCCTGTCCTCCATCCATCCACTGTGTCAATCTTCAATGATTCCCTAGTGCCCACTTCTACTAGTGTTTCTTAAAATTTAGTACAGTAGTGTAAGGACATCTTTTAAAAGGAAAAAACAAACTATGGACCTACCCAGTCACTGACAAATTTACATGTATATATAAATACAATCAGGAATATACTCTTTATAGCTCTTACATTATAATGCCAACAAATTCACAAATGAAATACAAACCCAAATTAGTACTCATTTAATGTGACAAATAATGCTCTGCTAAAATTAAACCACTAGTAACAACAAGATAGCTGTAGACTTATGGTGCAGGTCCTTCTTATTTTGTCACCCTCCTAGTGTCATAAGCAGTGACGGAAATCTTTTCTTCCATCACTTTCTTCTATGGTAACTAGTGAAAAGCCTTTCTACCTTTAGTACTGTCTATGGCTTGTACCTGTAATGCTTTATCTTATTCATCTCATTATGCCTGTTCCTTCACACTATAAGAATAATAAAGATAAGAAATATATCTCATTCATATCTCTATATTATTAATGTCTATGCCAGTGCCTTTCATCCAGTAGTTATATAATAAATGTTCCTAAGGGAAGAAATGGAAAGTTCTAAATGTACCAAAAAAACTTGTTGGTATTTTATACACACACACACACACACACACACACACACACACACAAATTATATCTACAAATGCCAATTCTAACTCACTTAAAAAGGGGAGGAGAGGGATGGACTTTACTGTCTCAAATTGAAACATCCAGAGGAAGTCTGATCCAGAGATTTACAATGTCATCAGGGTTGCAGTTTCACTTATCTGCCATTCTCTTGGTTCTGCCCTGTTCCATGAGTAGGTTCATCCTCAGGCTGCATCCAATCTTGGCAACAATGGCTGCAGCCATTCCACACCTCAAATTTCATATGACACCATTTTGAAGGAGAGAAAGGGTCTCTTTCAGTAGCTCTAGAGAAAGAAAGAGAAAGCTTTTCTTTCCCAGAAGCACTCACTAGCATTATGTAACTTGCGCAGGAATGGAGATGAGGTGGGGAGCAGTTAGGAGGATTTAAAGTAGACTAATCTAGGCCAGAAGTGGTGGCTCACGCCTGTAATCCCAGCACTTTGGGAGGTCACGGCGAGAGGATCGCTTGAGCCTCAGAGCTCATGACCAGCCTGGGCAACATAGGGAGATCCTGTCTCTACAAAAAAAAAAAAAAAAAAAAAAAAAATCAGGCAAACGTGCTGGTGTGAGTCAGTAGTACCAGCTACTCGAGAGGCTGAGGTGGGAGCTCAGGAGGTCGAGGCTACAGCGAGTTGTGATTGCACTGCCACACTTTGGCCTAAGCGACAGAGAAAGACCCTGTCTCAAAATAAATAAATAAAAGTAAAGCAGATTAAGTTAATCATGGTACCCTGGAGTTAGGAATGAGAATCCAAAGGGTTGAAATGAGAGAAGAACACAGCCTACCACTGAAAGAAGCAAAAGGGAATGGATGGTAGCAAAGGAATTAACACATGTCCACCATCAACACTATGTACAGATTTACACACAGAAAAAAAGTTATTTAAAAGGTTAGTTTTTTTTCACAAAAGTTACTGTTCTGCTTGTTTTTGTTCTTGAGACAGGGCATCACTCTGTCAACAGAAGTGTAAGGACATCTTTTAAAAGGAAAAAACAAACCATGGACCTACCCAGTACAGTGACGCCTTCATAACTCACTGCAGCATTGAATTCCTGGGCTCAACCAATCCTCCTGCCCCAGCCTCCCAAATGGCCGGGACAGTAGGCTATATTAAGGCCAATTTACCAAAGGTCCAAATTATTTATCCACAGGACACAGTATGAAACAAGAGCTAAAGAAGAAATGTGAGGCTGGGCATGATGGCTCATGCCTGTAATCCCAACACTTTGGGAGGCCAAGGCGGGTGGATCATTTGAGGTCAGGCATTCAAGACCAGCCTGGTCAACATGGTGAAACCCCGTCTCTACTAAAAATACAAAAAGTAGCCAGGCAGTAGAGGTGTGCACCTGTAATACCAGCTACTCAGGAGGCTGAGGCAAGAGAATCGCTTGAGCTTAGGAGGCATAGGTTGCAGTAAGCCTAGATCATGC